ATATCTATTATTATCAAAAATTTGCCTGAAAGTACCCTTTTGCTCAGAGACCCAATTTCCCTTCATATATATTTTGTCTCTTTACAGCTCCTACAGAAATCCTAGCTATGCCAGTGTAACTAAACTATACAAACTATATAAATTTGAGCTCTTGAAAATGGAGGTATGGAATAAGAAAATCTTGTTTTGCTTCTATAGCATTTCATACATCAGATATCAACCCGGTGTCTTCCTATAGCTCTGGTTCACTTAACAATTTTATGATTGAATTTGCTTCTTCAATAATCAGAACTTTCAAAAATATAGACCACCTTATCAAAATGTTTTGTGTAAGCTTTCCTACCAAGTAGAGGACATTGACTATATATCTTAATTGAATCATCATTAATATTTCATAATTAAATTCAACAATAAATTCCATCAAAATCAAATCAACAAAGCATACATGGACAGTTCATAGCTTTGTTTACAGAGACAGGAATCAATGTGGAATGTGATAAAGCTCTCAGTGAATTAATTTAGAATAATAGAGGAATATATAAGGGTTATGTACTGGGAGGTTTTGGATACAGGGTTTATCCCAAGGGAAATATGTGTATCTCACGAGAGACCGCAGGGACCGAGGGAGATACACATATTTCCCGCGGGATAAACACTGTATCCAAAACCGACCATACATAACTGGTGTATCTCATACTTGAGTGGGTTTGGGGTAGATATAACCTTTACCACCTTTTTCAAAAGACAAGATAGGCCTATACTGTAAAAACACAATTTATATTTAACATTTTCATAATATTCCTTCAGTTCAATACAATAGAATTGTAACATTTAAACTTTTTGAAAAATTTCTGAAATTTAAAAAAAACTTTTTTAAACTTTTGAAAAAATTCCCGGGAGCGGGATGGATATATTATATCTGCCCGCATTTGGCCTAGAGCGGGACATATACAATATATCCTGCCCGCTTCTCAGATATGATATATATTCCCGGGTGATATGTACCCCAAACCCACTCAAGTATGAAATACGACCATATATTTAGCCTTTTTCTTTGTTCACATAAATAAGTGCTATTTTTAGTATAATAAAATGAGAACTCATCATGTTGGAAACAATAAAGTTTGTTTTATTATCTTTATATGGGATGTAAACCCGTATAATGTAGGAGAAAGAAGCATCTTGGAATTATCATAGAGACTTTTTATGGGAAGATGAGTTATTTTCTTTTGCATGTTGTAAAATAAATATTCCTTTTATTGACAAAAGTGCAATATAGTACCTTGTATATTTTTGCTATTTGCGGACAAAGTGACAATGACTATGCCAATAACAGTATACATAAGACTAATACACAGAATGCCCTATACAACAACCATATTAAGTCCCTGGAGATGATATTTATCATATAGCCAGTAAATATCAACATATCCATAAACTGTATGTGGAATACTCCAAGGTGATATAACATTTTCAAATATTCATTGAAGTAATAAGTTCCCCATTGCGATAGCCACACCCCCTTTGTCTTTATCCTTCCAAACGGCAGATAAGAGGGGCTCTGGCATACCAGAATGTAAGTTCCCGCTTTGTCTTGAATTTTCATAACAATTTTACCTATTTCTTTTCATGATGATGTTCTAGATTGAGTACTAATCATCTCTACTAGACGACAGCAGTGTTTTTTTTATCTGTGCATGTCAGTATGAATAATAGAAAGAATGCTTTTAAATCCTGAAATACTTGAACATAAAAATGTCAGTTTAATCTATATGGTTTTTTAGGGAAATATCCAAAATTCAAATGTTTCACCAGATTAAAGAAAATGTAACTACTTACACCCAGCATAGAATGTTGAAACAACATTGCACCAAACTAAGAATGTAACAAGGCGTTAACATGCAAAATGTCACCACCTGTCATTTGTTACAGATGCAAACCGCTGAATGCTGTCCATAAAAAGTAGGAGACTATAACAATATGTCACCACTTGTGGTGGTAATTTTGAAAATTTTGAAAGTAGATAATTATCATGAAATATTTCTCTGTCCCTAATAAATAGAGATTATCCTATATGAGGTTCAGGATATTGGGATTATCCCGAGGCCAATGTAATATATCTGCCCGAGGGCCGTAGGTCCCGAGGGTAGATATAGGATACTATATTGGCCAAGGGATAATCCCAATATCCTAAACCGACTATAGGATGATCTGTTTATCCCATACTTATCACATTGTTCAATTGGCCAAAGTTCGGAAACGTTGCAACCATCCGTGGAATTATCTTAAAATATTCATGTCCAGTTTTGTATTCTTGTCTGTAGGCGGGTTTTCCTGTTCAAATCTTTGATAATTAACGGGGCATATAGCTCCTCCCCTTCGTTAATGCATCCAACAGATCGCGATTGTCTGCATTTTTCTCCATTGTCGTTTACAGTATGCAAACGTTACAAAAAAGAACCAATGCGGGAACAGCGATTATGACGTAGCGGGCAGATATACTATATCTGCCCGCTCGGAGCGGGCCGTTAAGCTATATCTGCCCGCTGATGAAAATATAAGTTTTTACAAACCGGCTTTATGTACCCGTAACACGTCCAAGTATGGGATAAACATATTTATCCTATGCCAAGTAGAGTTTTAGGGAGATAAGTTGGCAAGATATGTCCTGTATCCTGATTTTGAAGTTTCCATATCCTGAACCTCCATATCTCCCACCATATCTCCCGCTCCAGGGCAAAAAATTTGTGAAAAAATTTGAAAAAAATAAAAATTGAAAAAAAGAAAAAAAATAGAAAAAATTTAAAAATTTTGAAAAATGTGAAAAAATTTAAAAAATATTGAAAAAATTGAAAGAAAATTAGAAAACTCCACTATTGGTATAGGTAGATATGCATATCTCCCTCTGGATAAACCCCATATCCAAAACCTCCCAGTACATAACCCTTATATATTAATACACCAACAAATATGTAGGTAATATTAACATTCAAGATATTTGAATTATTGACCCCTATTTTATCATACTCCTAAAATAAACATGTAATCTCACTCATAGCTATAAGCATTATTATACCATTGCTGAGCACTATATTGGACATAATATACAACTATGTTATTAGAATGGTCTAAATTTTCCACGGGTTACTTTGAATAAATAAACATGGCAAATACATTTTATAATGCACCTATATTTTAACTTCTTAACTTCTGACTTTCATTGTAACTTAAAACAATGTACATTACTCTAATTATTCATTATAATATATTAATTGTATTTATTAAAAACTAAATAATAAAAGATATAGTACTAAGGAGGTTCTAATTAATGCAAAAACAAATTAAAAAATTTTGTTTATAAAGAAACAATGGAAATAGCCTGAAGAATTGACTCTCTAAGTTAAATAGGAGTAGAAAAGTAAATATGTTATCTATTGGTGGCATGGATTCTAGATAAATTTACATTTTGTAATCAATACCACCTGGTTGGAGATTACTGGTCAAGAATATTTAAATACACCTGTATTTAGAAAATTTACTGAGTAGATAAACATGTTTATCAATTTTACAAATAATTTGAAAATAATAGCCGTTCAAAGTAGGGTCAGTTCTGAAAAAGGATTGAAAACAATTCAGATTTCTTCTTAAGAAATACAGTTTAGAACAATACATTTATAGAACAGTTTGGTCAAAAAAATAAACATGTGTTTTTCATATACAACATGTGTTTTTCAGATACTTGAGCCCCAGCTTAAAAATACTCCCCTTGAAGAGTGGATTCTATGTGAATTCTAGCTAAAATATGAATTTCTTTATAATATACCGCCATGGTACACATTTGCTTTGAGACAGAGCTGCAGAACTCCACACTAAATTGCACATATCTCTTTTTCCTCACTCTCATTGTTAAAATTGTTAAATAAAAAACCAAAATTTAAAATCTTCCAAACGTACAAAAACCTGGCAAGGACCATGAGAATGTCTACAACGTAAAAGATCCTTATTTTCCTTGATCATTTCATGCCTTTTTACTATATTTTACATAAAACATACTGCAAGAATACTAACTCACAATTTATGTTTGAGGTTGCCTTGAAGGTGTATACTAAAACTGAATAGATGATTAGATTTACTTAACTTATTGCCCCTGAAGTACTATGACTGTCTCGAGCCAATATGGAGGCTAGATTTATGATCAGTTAGGGAAATATTTCAGGAGAATTCAGCTTACTCTGTAATCATTGTTCCTTGAGGTAATTCTAATGAATGGGTAAGTCAGTTGTATATTGTACAACAATTGTGTATTTTTATGTTTTGTTTTCTTTGGGAAATATATACATCTTTTATTGACTCTTTGGATGCCATGGCATGACATATTTGTTACCATGCCTTTGTCAAATTAAGTAAATTTGATTGAAAAAATTAGTTTCTCTTGAAACTAAGATTGTTCACACATTAATTATTTTACCAACTTAGGGGATGAGACGATTTGAATGTATTGTACATGTTCTATGTATGTGATGTCAGTGTGAGTGTAAGGATCTACATGTATTATTCATGTGATGTCAGTGTGAATGCATGGATCCAAACATATGAATCTGCATGAGATGTCAATATGAGTGCACAGATCTTGCATTGTACATGTGATTTTGAAGTAACTGTATGGATCTCCATGTATTGCACATGTGATAATGTCAGTATGAGTGTACGGATGTGTATGTGATGTCAATATGAACACTTACATACACACACCTTTTAGACATCTGGGTAGAGAATAATATAATTGGGAAGGGGGTAGATTCTCAAAGTCTCAAGCATAAAATATGATCAGGCCCATAGCCAGGGGCTTCGAGGGTTTTGAGCCCCTGGCCAAAAACTCTTTCAAAATCAAACTGTTTTCTACAATTCTGAGTACTTTATAAGTGATTTTGGACCAAAGTTGTCAAAAATGAACCCCAAAAGTTAGCTATGGGCCTGGTGATATGTTGTGATGTACTCACCCATCTGGGCTGAAGGTCATGAGGAATGTTGCTCTGGACTGGCCTGACAGCTCACAAGGCTAAAAAATATAAAAACAACAAAAACATAAATCCAGACTATTGGAAAACAATACCTGAGCAATAATATGTCAATCATCATTAAAATAATATGATGATCTTTCTATTGTTGTTTCTTTTGATTCAATTTGATGCGAAAGCCACAAATTGTATAATAGGGAGGGAATGGTATAGATGAGTATATGATATCAATAAATAAGTGATTTTTAGTGATATAATTTAAATTAAATTATATGATATTTTTGTCACTTTTAGCATGAGGACAACATGGTGATGACAAGGCATTAACATGACAAAATGTCACCACCTAAAACAATTTGGTCAATTTAAAGCAAGTTGGAAAAACCTTTTGACCTTAAGAAGGTTTGATTTGAACTTCTAAGAACATGAAGATGATTTTGAAAAAAAAATTCGTCAATTTAAAGCAAGTTGAAAAAATACCTCTTTGACTTTTTTTGACATTGAGAAGGTCATTGAAGGTCAAATGTCAAATGTAAAGTCAGATTTGAACTTCTGAGAACATGTAGATGATTTTGAAAAAAAAATTAAGTAAATTTGAAGCAAGTTGAAAAAAGACCTTTTTGACCTTTTCAAGGTCATTGAAGGTCAAATGTCAAATCTAAAGTCAGATTTGAACTTCTGAGAACATGTAGATGATTTTGAAAAAAAATTAGTCAATTTGAAGCAAGTTGAAAAAAGACCTTTTTGACCTTGAGAAGGTCATTGAAGGTCAAAGGTCAAATTTAAAGTCAGATTTGAACTTCTGAGAACTTGTTAAGTCAAATTTGAACTTCTGAAAAGATGTAGATGATTTTGAAAAAAAAATTTGGTCAATTTGAAGCAAGTTGAAAACAGACCTTTTTGACCTTTTTTGACCTTGAGAAGGTCATTAAAGGTCAAATGTCAAATCTAAATTCAGATTTGAATTTCTGAGAACATGTAGATGATTTTGAAAAAAAAATTAGTCAATTTGAAGCAAGTTGAAAAAAGACCTTTTTGACCTTTTTTGACCTTGAGAAGGTCAGTGAAGGTCAAATGTCAAATCTAAAGTCAAATCTAAAGTCATATTTAAATTTCTGAGAACATGTAGATGATTTTGAAAAAAAAATTTAGTCAATTTGAAGCAAGTTGAAAAAAGACCTTTTTGACCTTTTTTGACTTTGAGAAGGTCATTGAAGGTCAAATGTCAAATCTTAAGTCAAATCTAAAGTCAGATTTGAATTTCTGGGAATACATAGATGATTTTGAAATTTTTTTTTAGTCAATTTGAAGCAAGTTGAAAACAGACCTTTTTGACCTTTTTTGACCTTGAGAAGGTCATTGAAGGTCAAATGTCAAATCTTAAGTCGAATCTTAAGTCAGATTTGAATTTCTGAGAACACGTAGATGATTTTGAAAAAAAATTTAGTTAATTTGAAGCAAGTTGAAAACAGACCTTTTTGACCTTTTTTGACCTTGAGAAGGTCAAATGTCAAATCTAAAGTCAGATATGAAGGTCAAATGTCAAATCTAAAGTCAGATTTGAATTTCTGAGAACATGTAGATGATTTTGAAAAAAAATTTAGTCAATGTGAAGCAAGTTGAAAAAAGACATTTTTGACCTTGAGAAGGTCATTGAAGGTCAAATGTCAAATCTAAAGTCAGATTTGAACTTCTGAGAACATGTAGATGATTTAGAAAAAAATTGAAGTCAGTCTAAACAGTATTTGTTAAGTTATAGGAAGTTGTAAGAAATTGTTACAGACGCCGGACGCCGGACGCCAGACGCCGGACGCCAACAACCAACCGCCGTCGCAAAAAAACGGAGACCATAACAATATGTCACCACTTTTGGTGGTGACATAAAAAACAGAGACCATAACAATATGTCACCACTTTTGGTGGTGACATAAAAATAATACATGATATTAGGCTTTCAGAAAATAATTTTCTCAAAAATGTTTAGTTTTTGAAGTGATGGCATACATGAGGATTACAATAATAAACTCATACTACTATACATGTATATCTAAAATGAGGGTCCTGTATATTGTGCTAATAATGTCAGACATCTTACAAAGACCATCAAGATAATGAATGCTGTCATTCCAGTAATATATTTACATTATTATAGTATAAGTACCTGTAGACAGATAATACATTTATAAAAGCCCAGAAAATATGAAAAATGCCAACCCTCACATCTTAATCATGGTAGGTGCCTGGAACAGGTTTATATTACATCCATATATGCGTGACTAGTTACAGAAACAATGACAAGGCAAATTATGAAACAAGACTCTCATATGCCATTAACGCTCTTAATAGTAATTAATCTCAATGGCTGATTCACAAAGCATGTACTTTTACTTCAGTGAAGTGATCCAAATTAATTGTTGTTGTCAGTTGATAAGTGAAAGCAAGTAAAACCTATTAAAGACAAGTAAAAATAGAAGTAAATAAGAGACTTAATTCTTAAATAGTTATATCAGGTATGGTAAGTGGTAAATGATAAAACCTTGAATGTACCAAACTGATTTAAAGTGGGAGTTAAACATTGTTTCTTTCTGTGTTATATCATATTTGTTGGAATATTAGAGGTTTGTTTTCCCTGTTGTCTTATTGTGCTTTTCTTTTAGATTAACATAAGCCGCAAATCTGATGCTGAATGTTACAAGGGCTTAAATACATATGAATTTATATATGAATCATTAAAATATATACCTTATGAAACTTATTGAAAATATATAGAAAAATTTCTCAATTTGTATTTATAAAGGTTGAACTTCCTAATAGCCTAGAAATACTTTTTACTCTCTACATATTCATACATGCGCATGCAACATAATGTACTCTATTTTAGAGGTTTGTCACTAATTTGGGGGAGGGGTTCAAGCGAAAAATTATTTCAAAATTATGCAGTTTTCACCATATCTTAGCACTGTTCAAGCGAGTGTGAGCCAAAATTGTCAAATGTGAACCCCCAGAATTTTTCAAAAAATGAACCCCCCTTGGCAAACGCTGGCTACAGGCCTGTATGATTTGAATACTTATGATTTAAGATTTAATTGGCACTGCATATGGTTCAGTTTTTTTTATGTTATCGATTTATTTCTAATAATAACATAGATACAGTCAGCTGATTGCTAAAGTTTTTCAACATTAGCGACAACCAGAACAACGGCAACGCCAAAGCGTAGCGAATCCCATCGAACAGCCATGGATGGCATTTTTACAAACAAAGTATATAGCAAAAATGGCAGCCATTTTTCAAAATGGCCGCCTTCTACCAAAAGTGTCATTAGACCATGTGCCATGCTTATAGTATTCATATACCAAATATGAACAAAATCGCTCCACTACTCTTCAAGTTAAAGTAAAATACGTTAAAATGGCGGCCATTTTGAAAAATGACCCCCTTTTACTAAAAGTGTCATTAGACAGTGTGCCATGCTTACAGTATTCACATACCAAATATGAACAAAATCGCTTCACTACTTTTCGAGTTATAGTCAAATACGTTAAAATGGCGGCCATTTTTCAAAATGTTTTTCAAAATGGCCGCCTTCTACCAAAAGTGTCATAGGACAGTGTGTCATGCTTATAGTATTCACATACCAAATATGAACAAAATCGCTCCACTACTTTTCGAGTTATAGTAAAATACGTTAAAATGGTGGCAATTTTTCAAAATGGCCGACTTCTACCAAAATTGTCTTTAGACAGTGTGCAATGTTTATAGTATTCACATACCAAATATGAACAAAATCGCTCCACTACTTTTCGAGTTACAGCAAAAATCGTAAAATAACGAGTAAAGGCCGCCATTTTTCAAGATGGCTGCCATGTGCTTCTTTAATATCTACATTTCTAGCTTTATTAATGTCCTATATAATTTTTTTACATCTAAAACATATTGCTATTACAGTTTTACATATTGCACCTAAATTACTGTAAATTAGGCACTAAAATGGCCACGATTTTGAAATGAGCGGCCATTTTGAAAATCGGCTTTCGAGCAGAACTTCTACCCCCATAGGGTATATGTGTACAAAATATGAACAAAATCGGGCCAACGGTATTTGAGTTATTGCCCGGACGGACGGACGTACGTACGGACGGACGGACGGACGGAGGCGTTCCCTATATCCCTCCGAACTTCGTTCGATGGGATAATTAAATATGGTTCAGTCTCACCAACCGTCTCTCTTATTTTACACTGATACATAATTACATACATATATATTTAGATAAAATGAAAATGCAGGTAATTTTTGGAATCATCATTTTTTAGCATTTAGCAAGAAAGGGTATGTTTTGTAGTGTCTTCTCTGAATATAATACCATCATTAAAATCTAATAAAAAAAACTATAATCAGCCCAGAAAAATAAGAGACATCCTCTTCATAATCAATCAAAAAAATATTCTATGGCAGTATGCAAAACTAAAATGACCAGGCATGTAATGTGAATTTCCTAATTCAAACTCAATAGTGGGCTCAATTGATAACACCGAAGAGCATCATACCCTTCAGAATATCCAATGAAAGAAAATCCAATGTTATGAAGGGATATCCGTAATGAAGTACATAGGGCAAAGTGCCTTCCAGACAGATTAAATGCAATACCCACTAATGGTGGTATGATGAGATGTAAAGATTATCAAAAGCCATACAAAAGGACATTACATGTACTTACTGAGGTTTTAAGGGACTGACATGCTTTCTCCTCAACCAAGGTGTTTGCATCTTTGTCTCTCCATCTAGAACATCTCTTTGACCTGCCAAGTTCTCTGTTGAAGACATATTGTACAACACTTTGTGCTGGAGCTAATTCTGCAATTGATTTTTCATCAACTTTGTCATCATCCATATTTTCTGGAAGTAAAAATCAAATCTGTTTTATATACCTGTTGGGATTTAGGTTCTCTCTCTTTATTTTGGTTCGCAAAAGCTCAAATTTTACAAAAATCTAGAACTGGGCATGTTCTTTAATCTGAAAATATATATTTTGGTTCTGAAAAGCTCCAATTTTACAAAAATCTAGAACTGGGCATGTTCTCTATTCTCAAGAAAATTGGGATAATATGTAATGCATATAGGTATGTTTTACGAATTAACATATTTAGGTTTTTATCTTGAACCTTATAGATGGAATAATAGGACGAGGTTGAGATATCTCTAAAATCATTGCTTGGGACAGTCCCTGTACTATAGCTTTCAGATCACTTCCAAGTGACATATATTGTACTGATGTAAATATAATCTCTTTTTATATGTTTTTATCATTTACAGCTTTCTTGATTACATTACAATGGTTCCCAATAATGAATGTTAAACAAAGATCACATCACATAGCATGGTCATTTAAAAAAAAAATTGTAACCATTGGAAAATATTATATTTTGACCCATATTATCAATGTCCATTTTGGGATAAAAATCATATCAATAATAAATCATAGGACATCCGACCTCTATGTACCCACATATCATGTATACTAATATCTCTCTTATGTATATTTCATGTAATCATTCTGGTCATTGGATAGGCCATTATACCCAATCCTTTGCTAATCCTATTAGCCAAAATTCAAAAGTTAGAAATATAGATTTAACAACAGCTTCCTAATTAATGCATATAATAATAATAATGATTAAAGAATTTGTTTTTCATTATCTTGTCAAATTCATGACATAATCTTGACAAAAACTGCCAACAATTTTGAGAATAAAACAATAAAATTATAAAATACATACCAGACTTATCATCGTCTACTAACAGGGATAAAAGCGTCAGTTTTGATATATCCCGCCTAACTCTCATTTCACATGCGACTGACTTCTGCAGTTAATGTTTGATTTCTATTTCAGATTGTTTTTCTATTCTATCGAAACAGCAAGTCCAAATAGAATTGAGACTGATTTTCAAATAAATGATCTAATAATAATATGGCATCATGATAAACGATAGCATCTCCTTTCAGTCATGTTTTGTTTTAAAGATGTGATGAGTATCACAATAATAAAGTGGTAACCTGGTAACTCAAATTAATAAAAACAAATGCGTAGGTATTAGGTAAGTTATTAAGCATTTGATGATATAATATTGTTCTTGATATACATTATCTTAAAAATAAACTACGTAATCATTGGTACACAACTAGGTTTCCTTGACAACCAAATAATTTGTCAAAAAGCACCGTCAAATGTGATTATTGTTTGTGTTTATACTGCATATAAAATGATGCGCTAAGTATAATTGTATTTTTCACATGCTACTGTCTTTGAGAGTTATATCCAACTATATTAAGTTATATCCAATTATATTAAGGTCAGGGTGCATGATGGGAAATTTTCTGCAGTCCTCAATTGAGTCACATGTTATTTTTCAAACAAGAATCACTCCTTCCCCACATTGTCTATATCTTCCAGTTTTGCACAAAGAGTACACTTATGTACCTAGAAAAGATTTGTGAGAAGAATGTTTTGATAAATTGTATAAAAAACAAGAAAATTCAATGAAAAAATTTAGAAAATTTTCAGAATTTTTTTTCACTGAATTTTCTCGTTTTGTATACATTTTACATAACAAATCTTCTCACAATGCTTTTCTAGGCACATAAGTGCACTCTTTGTGAAAACCTGCAAGATGTAGACAATTTGGGGAAGGAGTTATTCTTGTTTGAAAAATAACATGTGACTCAATTGGGGAATGCAAAAAATTTCCCAACATGCACCCTGGCCTTAAGTTATATCCAATTATATCAAGTTATATCCAACTATATCAAGTTATATCCAACTACAGGGTGATCCAGAAGTAACGTCAAAGATGTTGTAATTTCAAAAGTATTCATCAGATCTTCATGAAATTTGGTATACATGTACCCACAACATTTCTGAGTTACCATCTCAAAGATTGGAATTCAATCATTTCATTGGTTGAAATTATGGTTGCTATAGTAACCCGATATCGCGTAACCCGGGGCAAATTACTTAACGTGTAATGCGTAATCTCAAAATATCAACAAGATCTGAAATTGTTATATCCTCAACATTTTATTTCACAACAATATAAATCATACTATTGCACAGTTACTTATAATAGTTCATTCTACATAATTGCCACCATTTGCAACACATTTCTCATGTCTGGATACCCATTCCTTGAACACAGAATTAAATCCATTAGAACTCATTCCTTGTAGGGCTAGTACTACGGCATTTTTCAATTCCTCACAGGATTGAAAATTATTTCCACTAAGGTTTCTTTTTAGTTCCCCATACAAATAAAAGTCACTGGGGGCAAGATCAGGTGAATAAGGGGCATGTTCAAGTTGTTGAAATCCAAGTGTTTGGACTGTGTTGCTGGTCAGGATTGCAGTGTGCGTAGGGGCATTGTCCCAATGCAAGATAAACTGCTGCAGATGTCCGGGACGCTTTTTCCTCAGGGAACGTTGAAGATCACGCTTCAGAACCTGAAAAACAAATGTTTAATGGTTGTTAAACCAGTTGTTTCATTGATTGGATTTGGATTTGAATCATGGCCATGGAGTTATAATTATATTGACAGTGAACAACATTTAAATACTTTAATTTAAAAATAAAATTCACAGTATGATGTATTATTAGAACAAATGATATCTTACCTTTGCAATGTAAACGGCATTAATTCTCTGGCCAATGGGAACAAAATGGGTTAACACCATTCCTCTAATGTCAAAGAATGTCACAACCATTTGTTTCTTTTGTGGAATTCCTGGTACTATTTTAGGCTTGGTTGGTGTTGGGGAGTTGTCATGTTTCCACGATGAACTTTGTTGCGTGGTCTCTGGGATGTAGAATGATAGCAATGATTCGTCACTCGTAATGATCTTGTTAAGAAAGTCATCTCCATCTCTCCGATATTTTGCAAGAAAGTCCCTTGAAGCCTTAACACGCCGGTCTTTCTGCTCCTGTGTCAAGTCATGCGGCACCCATTTAGCAGACACCTTCTTTAACAGACAGTTCTTTGTCAGTATCCGTTGCACAGTCCCATAGCTCAGATCATGTTTTTCAGCCAATTCTCTGATAGAAATTTGCCTATTGTCCATAACATCAGCTTCAATTGCTTTGATGGTTTGATCATCGAATGACGACACTGGCCTGCCTCCTCGCTGCTTGTCTACCACTTCATCATATCCACTGGAATACTTGTTAAACCACCTGTAAATGTTTCTCTCAGCAATGGCAGCTTTACCATATGCCTTCTTTATCTGTCTTATAGTCTCTTTTACACCTTTCCCCAACTTTACACAGAACTTAATGTTTGTTCTTTGCTCTATTTTACTCTGACTTGGCGCCATCTTGAATTGGGTGGGTTAGTGTCCTTGGTCATGTTAGTATTTGTCATGGATGATGAAAGCAATTCAAAGAAATTGAAAGCTTTTTATGAATGCCTATTGTGACATCACAACTATTACATATTTGTTACCATGGCAACAAATATAAAAATCATAGAAAACAAACAATGAACATTTTCAAATGTTACTGACTTTTTAAATTAGAGAAATTCACAAAAACGTTATGGTTTCTCTTCAATTTGCCCCGGGTTACGCGATATCGGGTTACTATAGCAACCATAATTTCAACCAATGAAATGATTGAATTCCAATCTTTGAGATGGTAACTCAGAAATGTTGTGGGTACATGTATACCAAATTTCATGAAGATCTGATGAATACTTTTGAAATTACAATGTCTTTGACGTTACTTCTGGATCACCCTGTATATCAAGTTATATCCAACTATATCAAGTTATATCCAACTATATCAAGTTATATCCAACTATATCAAGTTATATCCAACTATATCAAGTTATATCTTGTTCAAAGTGATGTTCAATCATTTTGAACTCATAATGTTGCATAAATATATTCTTAAATCAAACAATAGGTTATCCTGTATATATAACATGTAAAGCTTAAACTTTCGAACTTTCCACCCTTCCAATAATCATTATCCAATACTAAGTATAAAACTTGACCCTAGTTTGACTCCTTATGCTGTGCTATTACATCATTATCCTGCTTCCAAAAATATATGTACAGTTTAGTTTAAGCTGGTGAATTTTTATTGAAAGGTCCAGTAAACAACAAGTTATGAATTTTCCCTCCTAGTTTGTTACCTCATTTAACCCATGTCCTCTTGCTCACCCCATTTTACCTTTGTGAAGTCCCAGAGAAAAAATTCAAATACTATCGTGATTTAGCGAAGGAAAATAGACAAAAACAGAGAAAAAAAGCAAGGATTGAATATTAGCAAATAAATGAAGATCACATTCAAAATTTTACAATACTTCAAGCAAAATAATCACTCAATTGAATTTAGAATGAAGATAATAGATCTGAATATGGCAACTTTGAGTAATTGGCAAAGCCGGCATATACAGTAACATAGCAGAAATTTAGACCACATTAGTTTAAATCAAAACATCCATAAGGAACAGGTATTATCAGTCGAAATGTTGAGGCATGCGCAGACCTCTATTTAGTGATATTTTCATTTCAAATATGGCGGCCAATCCGATGTCTGACGACCCTTACAAAGAATCTAGGCAGTTTGCATTTTTACCTCCTGTGAAATAACAAGTGGAATTTAGTAGTTGTTTTGTGTTTTATTATCATTCTGCATCGTAATTCTATGTGATGTGGTGTTGAAATGTCAGCAGAAATGCATATCCATACGATAATCGAGTGAATCAGATAACAGATTTTTCGAAAACCCGTCTCGTGCTAAGCGTGTAAAAACTTGTATTAACATGCTCAAAAGTGCCAATGTGCACATCAATGTCAAGCTAAATCAATGTTGTGTCTAAAACAGGTACCCGATCTACTCAAAACAGCTTGTCATTCACGTATACACGCTTAGCAAACACGGCGAAATGACCTGAATCTTGGAATTTCGTTCAAGAGCTAGTAATGTTTGCTCCGGTCTTCGTCATAATTGTTCAACAGACTTCACGCATGCGCAGGAGAAAAACCATCAACCAATAAGGTTTATAAATCAATTTTGCGCATGTGCCTTACAACGGTAAAGAAATTGGTATTTATAAACGAACCAGTTTGAGATAACCCGATATCAGTCGGAGAAATCTGACGATCTACGAAACTCACTTCAAAAAATCAAATGCGGACTGACGGCGTATTCTACTATGTTTGGATCTAAGATTTTCAGTATAGATAAAGTCTTTTATGATCTTTCGAATGAGGTAAGTCTCTAGTTCGAAAGACAATCGTATCAACTTGAACAAAAGTTGAGTTTTGACGAAAAATTTTAACATGCGCAGAAGTCCCATTTTCGTTGTACCATATTGACTGTTATTTGATCAAGAATCTATAAAAATCACTGAAACCTGTAACTGACAGATGCAATAAAGGTGCCAACTTTATGAGGTGCCAAAGTAGACTTTTTTTGGGAGGGGGGCTCGCTAATCTTAGCAACACTGATAAAATGTTCTTAGTTAACTCCCAGAACTCTATATACAGGGTGACCCAAAAAAAATGCAACCCTCCATTTCTTCAATATTTTTCTTAAATGGAGGTGAATTGCTCTGAAATTTGGCACACACAGATTTCATTCAATGTGGGATCCTCTGGCAAAGTTTAAATAATCAGAGTCTTATATTGATAGAGTTATGGTCGCTCCAAAATATGCTCCAAATGTCGTCCATTTCCAATGTTAGGTTTTCGGAAGAATCACATTCCCTTCTTTCTGAACATGTAAACTCAAGAAATAATGTGTTCTGGGATCACAAATTCAAGATGAAGTGCTTCAAAGGCCCCTTCATTCTGTTAAATGCACAGCTTGGGCTGCCAATTTCCAAACATGAAATCATCAGCCCCTTTTGGTT